CCCTGGTCCCAGCCTCCTCGCCCCCCCTGGCTCCAGAACCCTTCATTAGTCTGCACAGCTGTGTTCTAGAGCTTGGAGCCCTGCATTTTCGTTCGTCGTCGTGGTTCGTCCTCCCTCCTGGCTGGAACCTTTATTTTCGTTCGTCGTCCTTGTTCGTCCTCCCCCATGGCCTCTCGGGCCTCCCGCCTGGGCCACGGAGCCCTTCATTTTCGCCGTCGTCGTAGTTCGTCCTCCCCCTTGGCCTCTCCCCCTGGCCCCCCCGCTGGGCCGCGGAACAGTTTATCCTTCCCTCGTCGTCGTGGTTCGTCCTCCCCTCTGGCCTCTTGCGGGGCCGTCCCCCTGGGCCGCGGAACTGTTTATTTCGTTCGTCGTCGTGGTTCGTCCTCCCGCCACGAGCCTCCCTCCAGAGCATCCCCCCTTTTTTTTTGTTCGTTATCGTGGTTCGTCCTCCTTCCTGGCCCCCCTGGAGCATCCTCCCTGGGCCCCCCCTGGGCCGCGGAATGTTTTATTTTCGTTCGTCGGCGTGGTTCGTCCTCCCCCCTGGCCCCCCTTCGGTCGCAGAACCCTTATTCTCTGGCACACCCGTATTCTAGACCTCGGAGCCCTTTATTTCCGTCGTCGTTCGTTCTTTCGCTCGTCGCCCCCCGGGCCACCCTGCCCCTGTCTCGCCATGATCGGCCCAAGAAAACACCAGGATAGTCTCAAGAACCCCCCCTCCTCACCCCGCCTCTCCCGGCCCCCACCCTCCCTCGTGCAAGAGCCTGGGCATGGCTTCCACTTTTTTCGTCATGGTGGTCGTCGTCGTTCGTCCCCCCTCCCCTGGCCCACTTACTCCCGGCCCTGGCCCCAGTCCCTTCGCTGCTCCTGGCCCCAGATCCCTTTGTTTTCGTTGGTGGTGGTCGTCCTTCGCCCACCCTCGCTCCGGCCGGCCGAGCCCCTCATTCTCTTGCACCCCTGGCCCTGGCCCCAACCCCCTCGCTCCCCCTGGGCCCCAGCCCTTCCTGTTTGTCGGGGCGGTGGTCGTCGTTTGTCCCCCTCCGCTGGCATGCTCTTGGCCCTGGCCCCAGCCCCCTCGCTACCCTTTGCCCTGGAGCCCTTTCTACACGTGGTGGCAGTGGTCGTCACTCGTCCCCCCCTGGGCTACCCCTGGCCCTGGCCCCAGCCCCCTCGCTTCGCCTGGCCCCGGACACCTTTATTTTCGTGGTGGTGGTGGTGGTGGTGGTCCTCGTTCGTCCCCTCTCCCCCTTTGGCCTTGGGCACCGCCCCCCGCTCCCCTTGTGCCCCGAGCAATTTAATTGGGTGGTGGTGGTGATCGTCGTTCTTCCCCACTCCCCTGGCCCACCCCTGGCCCAGGCTCCAGACGTCTCGCTTCCCCTGGCCCCGAAGTCCTTTCTTTTCTGGGTGGTGGTCGTCGTTCGTCCTGCTCCAGAGGCATACCCCTGGGCCAGGCTTCAGCCCCCTCGCTACCTGATCGTGCAAGTGCCAGGGCACGCCAGAGGTTGGGGAGTCTTGCGGTCGTCTTGGGTAGGGAAATGTCTTGAGAACCAGGTCTAGTGCACGTTCTGAGGCCAAACGCGAAGTCATTGAGAGATATCTTGCTGAGATCTTCTGAGCTCCCACAGGTGGGTCCCCTCAAACCTACGAGTAGATGCGTCCAAGTTCCTTTCCTGGTCGGGTGTTGCCAGACGTTTCACCAGCTAGCTTTTCCAGGGAGGCCCAGACGGCCTCCAGAGCACCCCTCACAAGGCCAACGGGCCCTAAGGGATTCGACCATGGCGCAAAAAGCTGGGGACACCTTGGACCAGGATCACCTCCAGCAACCTCCGACCTGGTCCCGATCGCTGTGTCTTGCTTCGTCTCTGTTCTGGGGCTGGGCCTGTCGCATGTTGGGTTCATTCGGGTTTCGCTTTTATCCCTGCCGGCGACGAGCCCAGGGATCCCACCAATTGCTGCCAGGATGCGGGGGACCCTTTGCCCGCCTTGGTCTGAGAAGGGCTGATAGAAAAGCCCTTGCCCAAGAATTGTGAAGTGCAGTCGCTCGTGGGCCGGGCGCCACGAGATTCAGCAGGGCGTCACAGGGGGCGGACGCGAAGAAGCGGAGGCGGTCGCTTCGTCGCGGAAGCCGGCCGTCTTTTTTATGGTGTGAAGGTTGCGCTTGCCTTCCCGCCTCCTGCCCCGTGGCCGGTTCGCCTTTCTTTTCTTCCTCCTGCGGCTGGTTCATCCGCGCTCTCCGCTGCCCGGGCCGCTCGAGCGCGCGTGCGGCCTGCCTCTATGAGGAGGGGAAAAGACACACACACACACAGACACAATGAATCGTCGATTCCCAGGAAGATATGGAAACATATGGGAAGTGTGGGGGAAGACAAAAGCCCAGAACATATGGACAGATATGGGGCATCCTGTTATCTGTGTGTGTATTTTTTTGTGTGTCCCAGGGCCCCTTCACTCCACCTCGCTGCGACGTGGCAAGTGTGAGCGTTGCGTTTCCTATCGTGTCGCAGCAGTTGCTCTGGATCGTTCTCAGGTGGTTCGGGATGCCCCGAGGCTGTATCAACATGTCGGCGGCCCTGGGCCGCACCAGTCCAGCGGCCTTTGCGACGGTCCGTAGTCCTGATCCCCCTGCTCCCGTGGACGGCTCTCCGTGTGCTAGGCCTGACGGTTCTGAACGCGCGTGCGAGTGCATTATTCAGGAGGGAAAGAAACACACAGACACAATTAATCGTCGACTCCCAGGAAAATATGCAAAAATATGGGAAGTGGTGGGGAAGACAAAAACCCAGAAAAAATATGGGAAAATATGGGGATATGTTTATTTGTGTGTATTTATTTGTGTGTTCCAGTTCCCCTTCAATTATATTCATGAGGCTTGCGTCCTCTAGTCGTTGCGCCAAGCCACTTTGGCTTGTCTGCTGATAGTGAGCGGCTGACGCTTGTGATGGGAGGGCGGTGCGTATAATGATTAGCAGGCGGATGCGGGGAGGATGAAGAGAGGGATGAGGATGAGGAGGAGGATGAGGAGGATGATGATGAGGCTGATGATGATGATGATGAGGAGGAGGAGGAGAAGGAGGAGGAGGAGGAGGAGCAGGAGGAGGAGGAGCAGCAGGTAGGAGAGGAACGGTACATTGAGGAGTGAATGGCTATTTTCTGTCATGTTCATGTGGCTCAAGGTCTGCCAGAGACGCTCTCTCACTGTATCCTGGCATCTTGATCTCCCCCGAGTCTCGAGGACACGTGCGCACCGAGAAGAGAGCGCAGTCAGAGAGCTGCTGCCTGAAGAAGAACAGGAGTTCAGGGAGAGAACATTCAGGAAAGCATCAGCGAGGGCGAAGCGGAGTGAGGTGGAGAGGTGGAACGAGGAGAGAGAGAGAGAGAGAGAGAAAAAGGTGAGGATGAGAAGAGAGGAATGAGGATGATGATGTTGATGATGATGACTATCATGATGATGAGGATGATGAGGTTGACTATGATGATGAGGATGATGATGATGATGCTGATGCTGATGATGATACGCTGCTGCTGCTGCTGCTGCTGCTGATGATGATGATGAGGAGGAGGAGGAGGAGGAGGAGGAGGAGGAGGAGGAGGAGGAAGGATGAGAGAGACGGCATCAGGAAGGATCGGCGGGGAGGGATATGTGGACCGAGGGTGTCATAATGCAACTGTTTGGAGCAGTGTTGCTGAAATTTCTTCTTCGCTCGGGAGGTACTTGCACTGGCCGTTGGGTCTGGGCTCGTATTGCGCATGCACAGAGGGGACACTATCGTGAGTCCCTACGGGGTCTCACACGATAGGGTTCCCACGCGGTAGGGTCCCACCCGATAGGGTCCCACACGGCAGGGTCCTGTACGAAATGGTCCGACACGATGTTGTCCCACACGATGAAATCCAAGGCGATAGGGTCTCACGCGATACGATCATACGTGATTGGGTCCCACGCGTTAGAATTCCCTACGATGGGTTCCCACACGATAGTGTCCCACATCGTTGCGGATCGCAGCTTATATGAGCATTGCACATGCAGCTCGCCTATTTGGAATCTGGCCCACTTGCCCCACTCGTCCCATGTGCCCCACCTGCCCCACATGCCCCACTTGTCCCGCTTGCCTCACTTGCCCCACTTACCCCACTTTGGGGAGTCGGGCGATTGCTTGCGCGAGCGTTGCCAGTGGGGCAAGTGGGGCAGGTGGGATTGAAGACCCAGCCCTTCATGGCCCTTTCATGGCCAAGCGCTGCTCTGCACAAGCCCTCTTGTGCGCCTTGTGTGCCCTCACTCTTCGCAAACCCAGTTCTTCCGATTAGAAGTAGTAATTGTTCAAATGTACGTCTAAGCACGCAGGATCAATGAGGATACACGTCATGGCAGTGTCATTCACAGTCTGTCCGCATCCGTTTTGCTCGAGTGCTGGCAGTTCTTGTAGGCGCGGGCAGCCCATGACGACTGATGTACTTCAAGTCCTGGCAGTTCTTATGGGCGCGGCGGAATGCTTCGCTCGCTATGTCGAGCTGTCACGGCCCAGTCTCTGAATGTGGCTTTAGCCATCGTCCGAGAATAATGTCCGTGATGCAGTTTTTCTTCAAAGGGCATTTGCTCCCAGAAGGGTGCTACTACTTGCACGTGGGCGCCACGGGCCGTATCGAATTTGATGATGCCCAGTTCCTTCTCGCAACAGTTTGGCCAGATGCCTGAGTGCCCCGCCGTGTTCGTGCATCATTGGGTGGGCGCGCCTTGGAGGACGGGTGAGCCGAGGTGGTGTGCAGTCTCCGTGGGCGGTTGCAGTGTTTGGCGGGGAGTGCCGCATCGTCAAGGAGGCGATCGGGTTAGACACGCCCGTGCTGAACGTTAAATGTTAAAAGGGCCGGGCCGCTCTGGTACGTCCAGCAACTTGATGTCCGCGAACTCTTTCGACAGAAAATTTTGAGGGTCGTCCACAGCACTTTCGCCCACCTCCCCCTCGTCAGTCAGGAGCTGGAGTCGAAGCCGGAGACACTCTTCTGTAGTTTCCGCAGGTGGGTGGTGAAGCCGCGGCGAAAGCAGCTCAGTGACTTGGACGCACGGAGAAAATCACTGGCTGCCGTTTGGACGGCGAGCCGCAGGATGGAAAATGCATGTCCTTCGACGGGCGCACCTCCCCGCCAGACGGCAAGGACATGTGGTGCGCGAGCGCCCTGGCCACGATGTCCTCGGCGCTGGTCGAGCAAGGCGCGCGGTCGATTCGGCCGCGGTCGTTAGCTGCCCGGCTTGCTTCGGGGTGCAGACGACTTGTGCAGGTAATGGATATGCCCCCGCTCAAGCAACCTTGCGGGTGGGCTGCTTCAGCGTCCGATGAGGCCGCTGCTGCACTGTTTGCTAAGCTGTGGGGTGATCGTTGGATCGTGGGCAATTTCTCGCGCCGGGGCAGGAAGTTGGCAGACGTCGTTCTGGTGCGTTTCTTGCGCAAGTGTCTCGGGCAGGCGATGCTCCTGGCCCGCTACCGCGATGCGTGGATGGAAGTAGACATCGTTGCGTCAGGTGTCAGAGGCAGGGTAACCTCCGACAGTTCTACGCGGTGACTGGTGGAGATGAGTGGCGATTGGCGCGCGCAGTTCCCAGGCGTCCAAAGGCAGGCCGCCACTGGATGTCCAGGCGTTTCCCCTCGTTCAGCCATTCATTGAGAAGTTGAATGTCCAAGAGGTGCGGCGGGCGCTAGCATAATCTTACAACACCAGTGCGTCAGCGCTATGCGGCGGTGCCTGGGGCCTCGCCGTTCCATCTTGCAAGGCCCTGAGATCGATATTGTGTTCGTGCTCAGTGTCGTGGGACTACCGCAGGGCCGTGGTGCGCTCGCGGAGGAAGCACGTGTGCGTGTGCCCTGGCCCTGAGGGGACGGGAACTGCGACTTTGCCCCGCGAGCCGCCGTCTATGGCCCCTGTACCAAGAGATTCCAAAGGCCTCTTAAAAAAGGGTTGCTGGTTTGATGCGGCGTGAGGGGCGCGCTGTTGGACCACCCGCGGCCGTCGCGCACGGACGCCATCGAAGATTGCTTGCTGGGCATGTGCCCCGATATCGACGAGTGCAGGAACGACCTGATCGAGGCTGGCCTTGGCTTGACCGACTCCTTTTTCGTTGTTTGAGAAAAAGGTGACGTGTCGGGCGAGGCTGGGGAAGAAGTTCGCTGGTTTCGCCGCGCCAGTGGAGCCCATGGAGTTGCTGGCTGGCTGCTGGCACACATCTTCGTGAGGCCGCGACAGGCGCCGCCAGCACTTGCTTCGCCACCTGCTGGCCTTTTCGCTCTGCCTCACGCTTTTGGCCTTCAGTCCGGCACCTTCGCCGCAGCCGTGCTTCTCTTGCATCATGTCTCCGCTGTCGTGCGCTCCTAGCTTGGGTCGCATGTGACACCTTTTTGTCCTTCATGCGCAATGCCTCCGTCCCATCTCTGCGTGCTTTCGTTTTTTCCGCGTGCATGGCCTTCGTCATTTAGTACCTGACCTCTCGTCGGTCTGACCGTGTGTTGGCACGCGTCGATGTTCAGAACCGCTTAGCGCTTCCCGTTTTTGCCCTCGCTGAGTTGGACCAGGCGGCCGCGAAACTAAATGTGGTGTGTGTGTGTGTGTCTGTGGTTCAGGCCCCCCCGCCGGCTGGGCAGGCTACAAGTGCTGCGCTGATGGCAAGGCGGTGCCCCAACTCAGCCGCATTTTTTGGGGGCAGGGGGCAATCCGCCAGCCTCGTCCCACGGCAAGTCAGCCCGTTGGCCGTGAGACCGCTCTTTCTTTCCCCCTTGGTGGGGGCAGTCCGCTGCCCTCCCTCTCCTGCCTTCGTCGTTCTTCTCCCGTCGTCGTCGTCCCATCCTCTCCCCGCCGTCCCCCCCTCCCGCGGCGCGGCCTCCACGCGTGCTGCCCACCGGTCGGGCTTCGGCCGCCCCGTGGCCCTCCTTTCTCCCTCCTGCCTTTGCGCTGTGCCTCCCCTCCCCCTCTCTGCCCCGCCGCCCTTCCCGCTGCCTCGCTCGCCGCCCTGGCCCCCCCACAGCCCGGCCTGCTGCCTCGCCCGCCGCCTCGGCCCGCTGGCCCCGCCGCTGCCTTGCCCCCGCCCCGCGAGGGGCCGACTGCTCGACGCGCGCGCTGCCTCCGCGGGGGCGTCTGACGGTGCGGCGAGTCGCCCACCCGCGAACGCTCGAAATATGTATGTATGTATGTTTGGATGTATGTATCTGTATATGTATATACATATATATATATATATATATGTATGTATGTATATATATATATATATATATATGTATGTGTCTTTGTGTGTAATTGTGAAAGTGTGTGTGTGTGTGTGCTTGTGTGTGTGTGTGTGTGTGTGTCAGTGTGTGTGTGTGTGTGTCAGTGTCAGTGTCAGTGTGTGTGTGTGTGTGTGTGCGTGCGTGTGTGTGTGTGTGTGTGTTTGTGTGTTTGTGTGCGTCTATTTGTTTGTGTGTCGGGGACACCCTTCGCGCTCGCTCCTGTGTTGTATGGGCAGGATGGGGGAGGAACATATGAGTGCAGTGGAGGAGGCATGCTGCCACCCCCCCCGCCGCTGGCAACAGGGCGCTAGAATGGGCGTGTGTTCCAGCTTGACCGGTACCTCGACGTACGGGTCCACCAAGGCTTCACAGAAGGACGCTCTTTGTGTGCGTGCTCATGGGAGGGGGGGGAGCGACGAGAAGGGAGGAGGAAGAGGAGGAGCAGCATCATGATGATGCAAGTGATGATGCTGATGATGACGATTATGATGATGATGCTGATGATGCTGCTGCTGATGATAATCATGATGATGGTGATGATGATAATGATGAGGCTGATGATGATGCTGCTGATGATGATGAGGATGATGATGACGAGGACGATGATGACGCAGGGAAAAGAACGCAGTGGCAGACTACTTGTGCAACCACACTATGGACGTGATCAAAGGCGAGTGGAGGGAAGAGCGCAATCGGCTCATCTCGCCGGGCAGCAACATCGCGGTGTTCTCAGATGGTGGGACGAGAGCGACCTGTTCCGCAAGCGCTTGGATAATTACGGCGATATCTGAAATCAATGGCGTGGAGAAGTTTGCCCCCATGGTAGCAGCCGGCATCTATTTCGCCGAGCCAGTAAGTTCTTTCTTAGCTGAGGCCATTGCTTTGGAAAATGCCACCCTCGAGCCAGTCCGGTGGTTCAAGAGAGTGAATGAGTACTCGCAATTTAGTTGCATGCCTCTTCTTGTGCACTTGGGTCCCAGGGTAGCTTCGTGGAGCTTTGTCCCTCTCGAAAGAAAGAAAGGACGATGATGACGATGATGATGAGGATGATGGTGATGATGGTAATGATGATGCGGATATTGATGCTGCTGATGATGCTGATGATGATGCTGATGATGATGACGATTCTGCTACTGATTATGAAGATGCTGATGATGCTGCTGATGATGTGGATGCTGCTGATGATGATGATGATGTTGACGATGATGCTACTGATGATGATACTGATGGTGCTGATGATGCTGTTCATGATGATGACGACGATGATGATTATGCTGATGCTGCTGCTGCTGATGATGATTATGATCATGATGATGCTGCTGATGATGCTGATGATGCTGGTGATAATGATGATGCTGATGCTGATGATGACGATGATGATGATGCTGGTGATGCTGATCATAAAGCTGTTGATTATGTTGATGATGTTGATGATTATGATGATTACGATGCTGATGATGATGATGGAGATGATGCTGCTGCTGATGATGATGATGACGATGATGATGATGCTGCTGATGACGATCCTGATGATGATGGTGATTTTGACCATGATGATGATGATGATGATGTTGATGATGATGATGGTCATGATGATGATGATGCTGGTGATGTTGATGATGTTGATTCTGCTGCTGATGATGATGCTGATGATGGTGATGTTGCTGCTGATGATGATGGTGATGCTGATTCTGGTGTTTATGATGATGCTTTACTTATGATGATGCTGACGATGATGATGATGATGCTGCTGATGATGATGATGTTGTTGTTGATGATGATGATGCTGCTGATGATGATGATGCTGATGATGCTGATGCTGATGCTGATGCTAATGCTGCTGCTGATGATGCCGATGATGATGCTGATGCTGATGCTGATGCTGACGATGATGCTGATGATGATGATAATGATGATGATGATGGTGATGATGATGATGATGATGATGTTGATGATGAGGAGCAGGGGGGGCAGGAGTCTGATTAGGAGGATGGGTATGCGAGGGGAGATGAAGAGGAGGAGGAGGAGGAGGAGGAGGACGGAAGAGGATCAGCAGGAACAAGAGGAGCAGGACCAGGCCAGAAGGATGATGACGATGAGGAGGGAAGGAAAGGGCACGTGAGGAGGAGGAGGAGGATGATGATGATGATGAGGAGGAGGAGGAGGAGGAGGAGGAGGACGAGGTGGAGGTGGTGGAGGAGGAGGAGGAGGAGGGAGGGAGGAGGAGGAGGGGAGGAGGAGGAGGAGGAGGAGGAGGAGGAGGAGGAGGAGGGGGGGGTCGGGGGGGGGGGGACGAGAATAGAGCACAAGTGAAACCACGTGACACGTTAAACGGGCATCGCGTTGGAGTCGCCAGGGGGAAAGATGCTAAAAGGTGCAGTAAAGGGGTCTGCGGGACATTCCGACTCTTCACGCCTCTCTTCTCTTGGTTGAAGTGGGCGTGATATGCGGGGCCTTTGGGAATCTTTTTGGAGGCACTTTTGGGGCCTGCTGTGCCCTTTGGTGGGCCGTTCGGTAGCTTTCTGGTTGCTCTTTAGGGCCCCTGGGGGCCGTTTTGATGCCTCCTGGGTGCCTCTGCGGAACCCGGGGTCCTCTTAGGCATTTTTGGGCGCGAGTTGGGCCGTTTGGGGGCCTCTCGCCCCGTCTTGGGGCGATCTTGTGGGCCTGTTGGACGCTCTTAGGGTCGATAGGGCGAACATGATACAACATCTTCTCTTGGCCAAGGAGCTGGGACGAACTTTGCCTCTTGGGGCCCTCTTGGGGCCCTACGGCTCCGACGACTACGGTTTACTAGTACGGCTCTTAGTCAGGCTACGACGGCGACTACTACTACTATTGCTACTAGGACTTCTCTTTCGACCATGGTACTACAACGACGATTACGACGACGACTGTTACTTTTGCTACGAAGTCTGCTACTATTACTACTACTACTACTACTACTACTACTACTACTACTACTACTACTACTACTACTACTACTACTACTACTACTACTACTACTACTACTACTACTACTACTACTACTACTACTACTACTACTACTACTACTACTACTACTACTACTACTACTACTACTACTACTACTACTACTACTACTACTACTACTACTACTACTACTACTACTACTACTACTACTAGTACTACTAGTACTACGACTACTACTATTGTTACTATTACCACTACAACTATTAATATTCCTACTACTAATATTACTTTTACTGCGAATATCACTCCTACCACCATCACCACCACTACTACAACTACTACTACTACTACTACTAGTACTACCACTACTACAACTATTACTACTACTACTACGACGACTACTACTACTACTGCTAGTGCTACTGCTAGTACTACTACTATTGCTGCTACTGCTGCTGCTGCTGCGACTATTGAAACTCTTGCATTTGCCGTTGATATCGCTATTACTACTCCTACCCCTGCTACTATTACTACTATTACTACTCACGCAGCTATACTGCTACCACTACTACTACTACTGCTACTACTACAACTGTTACTACCACCACTACAGCTGCTACTTCTTTATGATTACTACTACTACTGCTGCTGTTACTGCCACTGATACAATTTTTTGACTGGAACTACTAGTACTACTTTCACCACTGTTAGCAGTACGATTGCTATTGCTAGCACTTGTGCGGTCACTACTGCTACATCTTTCTACTGCTACTGCTACTGCCACTAGTACCGCGACTGCGTCTACTACTATTACTTCTTCTTCTTCATCTTCGGCGACTGCTACTGTTACTACTTCTTACCTTTCCTATTAAAAGGACGGCCGCGACGACGGTGGCAAGTACGTTTACCATGTGTATTTGTTGCGTGTACGCCCGCGCATACGTTTCGCATGTGTATCGTTCCTCTTTCGTGTGCTGCGCGTATCCGTGTCGTTTACGTTTGGTGTACGTGTTGTAGATGATTTGTTCACACATTTCGTACAGGTGCCATACGATTGCTGTAGTCGTTTCGTACAATTGTCGTTAATGTTGCGTGTACGCTTTGTACACATGTGCGGTATCGGCGTCGTAAATGGTTCGTGTATGATTTGTAGGTGTTTCGTGTATGTTTGTATGCGTGTCGTCAATGTTTGGTATATGTTACATATGCGTGTCGTAGATGTTCCGTACTTGCTGCGCGTGCATTTTTTAGACTTGTTTAATTGGCTGTACGTGTTTCGTATCGTTGTTTTTACGCGTCGAGTATGTTCTGTATGTGTCTCGTATGCGTATTGTGTAAATGTCGGAGATGTTTCGTGGGTGTGCCGTGCTTTCAGAATCAGAACGACCGCTGCAATTATTATTGACACCATTACCACGACCACGACCACCACTACTACGATTATTGTTGTTCTTGTTATTATTATTACTTGTACGGCTACTACTACTACATGATTATTATTGTTACTACTACTACTACTGCTACTACTACTACTACTACTACTACTACTACTACTACTACGACTACCACTACGACTACTACTACAACTACTACTGCAACGACTACTACTTCTACAAAAGCAACATCTATTACTATTATTACTACTGCTGCTGCTGCTACTACTGCTACTGCTACTGCTACTGATACTGCTACTGCTACTGCTACTGCCACTGCTGCTACTACAACTACAACTACAACTACAATTACAACTACAACTACAACTACAACTACAACAACAGCAACAGCAACTACTACTACTACTACTACTACTACTACTACTACTACTACTACTACTACTACTACTACTACTACTACTACTGCTACTACTGCCACTACTGCTGCTGCTGCTGGTACCACTACATCGACTGATCCGCCACATCTACAGACAAGACCACGAAGAGTTTGTTCTCTGGGTAGGGTTATACGACATCCTGGGCGATTTCTTGGAGGGTTCGCATTCAGGGCTGAGAAATTGGAGTTCGACAGAGTTTTGAGGATCTTTGATCGGGTTTCGCCCGGAGAATCAACCCTTCTGCCAGAATCTCCAGACGCCCATTAGGACCCAGAGGTCCACCCGGAGAGCCCTCCGTCCTCCCAGGGAATAAACCCTTTTCCCGGAGAACAACCCCCTTGCGAGGGGCCTCTTGGGGCTTCCTGAGGGCCTCTTGGGGGCCTCTTGGGGCCTCTTGGGGGCCTCTTGGGGGCCCCTTGGGGGCCTTTTGGTTCCTCCTGGGGGCCTCTCGGGGCCGAGGGCTCGAAACGTCCGTTCTGGCCCCTCGTCCGGGCACCCTGTTGGAGCCGTCTGGGGGGCCTCTTGGGCCGCCTTGGAGGCGTCTTGGGGCCCTCTTAGGCTGCTTTGGGTCCTTCCTGGAGCCCTCTTGGGTCGTCTTAGGGCGATCTGGGGGGCCCCTTCGGCCTATTTAAAGCGCCGGGAAGCAGAATGAGCGAGAACGCCGAAGTGCTTCAAACACCAATGGGAAATCAGTGATTTTCCTCTTGGAGCCCTCTCGGGGGTGCTCCTGGGGGCTTCTTGGGGCGTCTTGCCAGGTTCGTTGGCCGTCTGGAGGCCGTCAAGGCGTCCTCTACACATCGTTCGGCGATTCGGGGCCTTCTTTGACCGTCTTCGGGGGCTCTTGGGGCACTCTTGGCCCGTCTGGGTTTTTTTTTGGGTCCCAAGGCCCACCCTCCGGGGGGACTTGCATTTGACTTAGGACCCTGGGACCCTCCCAGGACCCCAGGACCCCCCCGGGACCACCTGGGACCCCCCCGGAAACTCTCCTGGGACCCCCCCCCTCCTGGCGGGGGAGGGATCAAAGGGACGGGGTTTCCCTTCAAGTCAATTACGACGTTGCTCAATTTCGCTTTGGCTGGCGCGCTTGATGGGGAGGATGGAGGGGTGTGGGGGCGCGGCGACGGGCACAGCGCTTGAGGAGGGCCCAGGGAAACGGGGGGGAGCCGGGACGGGCCCAGGGAAAGGGGGCACGCAGGGAAAGGTGACGACAGAGACGACGACAAACGAATGACAGACGACTCGAACGGATCAGCCCTTCACACACGCCGACAGGGTCGGCGGATCGTGTCAGTCATGTGCGAGCTGCATGTTGTGTGTTGACTTCTGGCCATGCTTGGACAAGGGACGAGGGCCGAGCGTCGTTCCGCACGTCGGAGTCAGTAACTGGGCTGGGAGAGGCAGCTCGTACTGGGACGAGCCGAAGGAACAACGCTGGGGCGCGTTTTGGCACATCTGCCCACACGGCGCGGGCACTGACAGAAGGCGCTCGATTCCGTGAGGCCTCCTGCCCGGCCGCGCTGGCAGCGTCGAGCACCCGAGCCCGCCTTCGGCGCGGCCCGCGCAGCTCTTCGCCCTCCGAGGAGCCGCTCGTGGCCGTCCCGCGGCCCGCTCCCCTCCCTCTCCCCTCCCGCCCTCCCCCCTCCCGCTCTGCCCGCTCCGCTCCCGCCGCGCCCCGCCGACGCCCGCCCGCCCGCGGGGCCCTGCTCGCCGCCGGCCAGGCAGACGCCCGGGAGGAGGGCCTAATTAGCGGGGCCGGTGTCCTCGAGGGCTGCGATTGCCTTGCGGCCAGTGCCGCCGACCCTGAAGCGACGACGACGACGACGACGACGACGACGACGACGACGACGACGACGACGACGACGACGACGACGACGACGACGACGACGACGACGACGACGACGACGACGACGACGACGACCCTGAAGGGGGACGACGACGACGACGCTTTGGCCTCTATGGTGCCATCTTGAGGATGCTCTTGAGATTCTTTTGGGTCTCCTGGGCGCCTTTTTGGGGCATCTTGAGGGCCTCCTTGGGGTCTCCTGGGGGCCTCTTGGGGCGGAAAGCGCGACATGCTGGTTGGTGCCCCCCTTCCTGGGAGCCTCTTGGGGCCATCTTAGGGCTTCGCAGGGCGAGTCTTCTAGAAGATCCGACGGCAGCCGTCCCGCGGCCCGAGCCAGGTTTTCGAACACATGTCGTTCAAGACATCCTGCCAGAGTCTCTGTCACCTGGAGTCGGGGGTTGTCTCGCCAGAGTCTCTGTCTCCCGTTCCGCAGCTATTTTGGGGCTCAGTCTGAGTCCGCCAAGGACGATACGGTGGGGGCGTTGGTTAAGGAATGTGCCCACGAGGCTTCAGACCCTAGAGGATTCCTCATCTGATGAGGGCGGCTGTTGTATCCGTGGCCGATCCAAGATCGGAGTTCCACCGACATCCAGACTCGGGGTTCCTTATCCACTGATTCCTTTTCTAATGCCCCCACCGTGCTGAACCGCACCTGGCGTTTGGAGGAGGAGAAGGAGGAGGAGGAGGAGGAGGACCAGGAGGAGGAGGAGGAGGAGGAGGAGGAGGAGGAGGAGGAGGAGGAGGAGGAGGAGGAGGTCGGGTGCCCGCTCCGCTCGCCTCCGGCGCCGGGCCCCTCACCTCCGAGGTTTGGGGCTTCTCTCGCGGATGGTCGCCGCTGGAAGCTCGGCGGAGGCAACGGGCGGACAGCCGACGGGGCAGCGTTTCCTAGGAGGAAGAGGTACTCCAGATCTCGTAATAAAAGGGAGGGGGTCTGGACCCTCCAAGACAAGCCATTTCAGACCCCCCCTCGTGGGAGAACCCTCCGAAGCATCGTCCCCAGACCCCCCCAGGCCCTCCAAGATAGCCTGGAAGAGACCCCCCCCCAGAAATGAGACCCCCTCCCTTTTATTACGAAATCTGGAGTACCCATCAAGCAGTGGCGAAGCGTCCTGGCTCGCCTATAGCCCCACCAAGCAATGTTCTAAGAAGCGTTTGTGGTTCCCACGAAGTGTTCTTAGAACACGTCTGGCCGGGACTGGCTTGTTTGAGCACGTCGGGGTTATGTTCTAAGAACATTGTTTTGTTCTTAGAACATTTGTGGGTTCTAAGAACATTCCGTGGTATGACTATAGGAATGCCGGGACGGTCGGTCCCTGCTCAAGAGAGGTACCCACACCCCTACCCGTCTCTCGTTTTCCCCTCTTTGAGCCTCCTCGGAGGCCCTCGTTGCCACTGCTGGATCCGTCTCGTGAAGTCTTGGTCCGAACGCACCCCAGGAGAGGTCCGGGGAGCAGCGGTGTGGGCACCTTGCGGTTTCCCCAGCGTTGGGCGTCGAGGTTCGAGGTGTGTCGGATGGTCTCGTCGGTGCTCGTCGACCTTCTGGCCTCCTGGTGCCTTTTCCAGCGGCTGCGCTTCGCCAGAGAGCTTCCCGGGGGTGCCCGGATCGTCCCCAAGGGCCGCCAGGCGCCAGGGTGTGACCCGAGAGCCAGGGGGCAACATGAGTCGGGGGTGGACAAAGCCTCCAACCCTGACACGTCGATTGGTGAATTGTCCGTTGTCGGTTCTCGAGAGGGCGCCGTCCTTTTCCAGGCTTGCGCCCGCCAGGTTTGGGCCCGAGGTCGTTTTCACTGAGCCACGTTTTACTAAAGGAGGCTCTGTCCATCCCCGAGTGAGGGGGTGATGGGCTCAGGGGGGGACCGTATCGACCCCTGACCGACCACTGATCGCCGACAGGGGCCCGAAAGCGCACCTCGCCCAGGAGCGTGCGGATTCGCCATCGAGCGCCTGTCGCTGATCTGTCGGCGGCGCCTCGCCGATTCTGGCCCGATGGTTCCCCTCCTGAGCTGGTCGTTGAGCCTCGTCGAAGGCACGGGCGGTCGGAGCCCCTGGATGCGTGTAGTGCCCTCCCGCCCTCCCGTGGACTCTCCGCCCTCGTTGCAGCCGCCGAGAGGAAACCACACGGTCCTCCTCCGGAGCGATGGCACGGCTGTGGCCTGCGGCGACAACGACTACGGCCAGTGCGCCGTCCCCGCGCTGGTGGCGGACCTGGCTTACGCGCAGGTTGCGGCCGGAGAGCGCCACACGGTCCTGCTCAGGAGCGATGGCAACGCCGTTGCCTGCGGCTGGAATCGTGATGGTCGGTGCGACATCCCTGCGCTGTCGGTCGCTGGGCTGGCCTACGCGCAAGTTGTCGCTGGAGGGAGCCACACAGTTCTGCTCAGGAGCGACGGCACGGCCGTGGCCTGCGGCGGGAATGGCGATCGTCAGTGCGACCTGCCAGCGCTGGTCGCGGGCCTGTCTTACGTAGAGGTTGCTGCTGGAGGCAACCACACAGTCCTGCTCAGGAGCGACGGCACCGCCGTGGCCTGCGGCTGGAGTCGTGACGGCCAGTGCGACCTTCCGAAGCTGGCTGCGGACCTGACGTACACGCAAGTTGCCGCGGGAGGGAGCGTCTCAGTCCTGCTCAGGAGCGACGGCGCGGCCGTGGCCTGCGGCGGGAATGCCTTTGGTCAGTGTGACATCCCAGGGCTGGTCACGGGCCTGACTTACACGCAGGTTGCAACTGGAGGGTTCCACACAGTCCTGCTCAGGAGCGATGGCACCGTCGTGGCCTGCGGGTGGAACATCGTGGGTCAGCGTGATCTCCCAGCGCTGGTCGAGGATCTGACCTACACGCGCGTCTCCGCTGGAGGGCGCCATACGGTCCTGCTCAGGAGCGATGGTACCGCTGTGGCCTGTGGCGTGGGCCCAAGGCTGAACCATCTCGTGGACTATGTGAATCCTCCTCGCTTCGCGGACTTCACGTCCAGAGCGCGTACAGTCTGAGCGTTGCGACCGCCCGCTCCCCCTCCTCCTCCTCCTCCTCCTCCTCCTCCTCCTCCTCCTCCTCCTCCTCCTCCTCCTCCTCCTCCTCCTCCTCCTCCTGCTCCTCCTCTCCTCGCCTTTTCCATTTCCCATCCCTTTCGCCCAGATTCTTCTTCGTCCTCTTCATCTTACTCCTGGGCTTCCGCTTCAATTTCCTCTTCCTTCCTTCTCTTCATCCTTTTCTTCCTCATCCTCCTTCGTTTCCTCATCCTTCTCTTCCTCTTGGGGCCCACCTTAGGGACCTTTTTGGGGCTTTTTGGGGGACTGTTGGGGGTTCTTGGGGTTCCCTGGGGCTGCCATGGGGCCCTCTTGGGCTGTCTTGGGTTTTTCTTGGGCTTGGCTGCCTTGAGGCTTGAAGGTCTTTGGGGACTCGTGTGGGCCTCTCAGGCCGTCTTTGGGCCCTCTTGGGCCGTCTCAGGGGGCCTGTTCGGCCATCCCGGGCCCTCTTGGTGCTCTATTGGGGGCCTCTTAGGCCATCTTGGGGCCATCTCGGATGTTTTTTTGGCTGTCTTGGAAGTGCAAAAAAGTAGTAAATAATAGAAATTGTTCAATGCCTAAGAAGATTCAGCATTCTGGTTCTGGAGGCCCTCTTGCGGATTCTCTCGGGGGCCCTTTTGAGGCGTCTTGGGGGCTTCCTTGGGGGCTTCCTTGGGGGCAATTCTTGACGCCGCGGGCCCTCCTGATAGGCAGCAGCAAGGTGACAGGACTGGAGAGACAAGGGACAAGCAACAAAGAGCAGTTCAAATAATACAAGACAGCTGTCCAGCTCAGCGTCTCACAGTGCCCCCAAAAGGGGGCCGGCGAACCTGCGCAATGGTACGGAAGTTCCGATGGCCTTCAATTGGAATGGTGACGGTCAGTGCGATTTTCCCGAGTTGGCAGTAGGCATGACTTACGTGGCTCACCTGCTCCCAGTGCTGCTCCTGCAGGCGTCGCTTGACGGTGACTCGATGCGCTTCGTGACCTTCGGTGGGGCGGAGCGCTGCAGCATCGGAGCCCGGCCCAGCGCACGCCTCGCAGACATACACGGCCAGCTCGTGGCCGAACATCGGGCGGGCAGACTGGGCCCTGGAGTTGGGCGAGTCGACGCGGTCCTGCCTGGGGGCCGGCTGCTCAGCAGCGCCTCGGCCGAGGAGACGGTCGCGGGCGTCCTTGGTGCAGGATGGTGTCGCTGAGTCGCTGCCCGAGTGCGGCTTCCGACTTGCCGCCAAGGTCGCGCAGCATGTCATCAGGGCATTCCCGTCCTTGGCGAACCCGACCGCCTTCGCATCTGATGGTGTTCGTCTGGGAGTTGTCTGCCCCCCTCGCGGACGTGGTGCGGATGTGCGGAGGCCCTGGTCTTGGCCTGCCCCTTCTCCTCGGATGCATCAGAGTTGTCCGCTGAGACGATCGCTGTTCGCGCGCGATTGCTGCGGGGTGCTGGCGAAGCGAAAGGGGCTGCTCACGCTGGCTCGCGGTTTCCCGAGCGCGACGCGACTGGCTCGCCCGGTTCGTTCCGGAGGCAGATCCGTGCACGATCGCGCCTGCCTAGGCCTAGTGCGCCCAGTCCATGGCTGGGGGTGCACAGCACCAGCTGGACATCTGCCTCCCGTCGTGGGCGGCGCTCAACGCAGGGAGGTCGCTGAAGTATGCAGGGTTCTGGTTTGGGCCTGCTGCAGGCCTGGGTCGCGAGTTGGACGGCGAGGGTTTTGGATCCGCGGGCAGTCCGGGTTCATCGTGGGTGCCGATGCATTCTGAGCAGGCCGCAGGCATCTCGACCCACGCGGGCCAGCTGGTGCGTGCGCCGACCAGATGCCGATGGGGGGAGTCGGGCACCCTGGGCCAGGTGGCTTGTGCGCCGCGGGGCGCCCTCCCGCTGCCGCTGCGGTGCCCTGCTCTCCGAGCAGGGCGGCCCCCGAGTTCGCTCGTTGCTGCCGCTCTCGACAAAGGCGGCGCGGTCATCCCGCAATCCCCAGTGCCAGGCGATCGATACTCGAGTGCCTTCGACTGGTTCGTGGTCGGCTTGACCGCTTGCTGGTGGCCCAGAGGAGGGGGCGAGCTTTGGCTCCTCATCTGTGGGCGGCTCAGAGACGGGGCCCCGAGGGAGGCGGCCCTGAGGGCGACGGGCCTCGAACGATGCAGACTCAGCCTGGGACCCCTTCCTGTCCGCAGGGCCCCAATCCCTCGGGGCCTCGTCTTTGGACCGCCGAGCATCTGCCTCCCCGTCGCCCCTTGGCGCCTCCGTTGGCACCCACCTCGTGGCCCCCCCCTCTTCCCGCCGCCTGCCCGCCACGGCGCGACCACGCGTGGACCGCTCCTCCTACTCCTCCTCCTCCTCCTCCTCCTCCTGGGCTCCTCCTCCTTCTCCTCCTCCTCTTCCTCCTCCTCCTCCTCCTCCATTCTTATTCCTTACAAGCAATTTCTCCCTGTCGCACCCCGAGGCCAGTTTGTAGGACGGGCCAGGCGTTTCGCCTGAGACTTCACCATGTATGACTCTGAAGCTTAATAACTGGCAACAGTTTCACAGATGGAGGGCGGGCCGTTTTCAAACTGTGGCTCTCGCCTTAGCGCGGCGCAAATTTGCAAGAGTTTCACGGATTGAGGGCGGGTGGTTATCAACATGTAGCTCTCGCCTTAGCGATGCGCACATTCGCTTTGAACATTTGCAAGAGCTTCATGGATTGAGGGCGGGTGCTTATTAACATGTGGCTCTCGCCTTAGCGCGACGCACATTCGTTGTAACAAGTGCAAGAGTTTCGCGGATTGAGGGCGGTTCCTTTTCAACATGTGGCTCTCGGCTCCGCGCTGCGCGCATTCGTGTACAACATTTTCAAGAGGTTCACGGATTCCCATCATCAGCGTACCAGAAATGAAGTTTAGGAGGATTCAGGACTATGCGGGTGCAACAGTTACGTTGATTCTCTTTGCAGAAGTCCTAGGAATGGCGTTCTGGCGCGATTCAGGATCGTCAAGACGCAACAACTAGGTTAATCCGTGGCGTTGGAATCCCGAGAACAATGTTTTGGCATGCTTCAGGGTCTTCAAACGGGTGTCTTCCAACGAGGCAGTTCCATCAATGGAAATGAACCGTTGCAGGGGCCCATGAAGAGGGAACTCGAAGGGACGGTTACTCCAACATCGTTGATGATGACTCTTGGGTTTACGCTGGTCCTCCCCCTCCTCCTCCTCCCCCTCCCCCTCCTCCTCCTCCTCCTCCTCCCCCTCCTCCTCCTCCCCCTCCTCCTCCTCCTCCTCCTCCTCCTCCTCCGCCTCCTCCTCCTAGGCTCAGGGGAGGATGCATCGACCACCAATCGCCCATTCATCGCCGAGAGGGGCCCGAGGGCCCACCCCGCCCAAGAGCGCGCGGGACTCGCCGTCGGGGGCCTTCTCGCCCCATCTGCCGGTGATGCGGTGCCGCTTCCGGGCCGACGCCCCCCCCCCCCCCCGTGAGAGCCAGTGCTCCCCTCCGTGTCGCTGCCCCTCCACGCGTGCATCAAAGAGTGCCAACTTGCTGGTAGGCATGTTGAAGGGTGGCACTCAAACCGCCATCCATCTAGGAGAGAGGAGGAGGAGGAGGAGGCGGGAGTAGGAGGGAGGCGGGAGGGAGGAGAGGGAGGAGGAGGAGAGGAGGAGGAGGAGGAGGAGGAGGAGGAGGAGGAGGAGGAGGAGGAGGAGGAGGACGAGGAGGAGCATCGGTCGGGCCCGGCCCCCTCCGGGGCCTGCCGCAGCGGCGTGGCTGCAGGCGGACAGGGCCCAGGCCTCGCCCTCCCGGGGCGGCCCGGAGATCGCCGCTCGAGGGGGGGCGCCCGCCCGCCCAGTGGCGCGGGGGCGGCGCCGCGTGCCGCGGTCGCTCCTCCTCCTCCTCCTCCTCCTCCTCCTCCTCCTCCCTCCTCCTCCCCTCCTCCTCCACCTTCTCCCTCCTCCTCCTCCACCTCCTCTCCTCCTCCTCCTCCTCCTTCCCATTCTTCTCCTCCTCCTCCTCCTCCTCCTCCTCCTCCTCCTCCTCCTCCTCCTCCTCGGGCGCACACGTGGCCAGAGCTCCCTCGAGCGGTCTCTGGCGCTCCCGGGCGGAGTCGGGCCCCGAGAGGTCCTCCGCCAGCCCCTGCCTCGCCAGGAGCTCTCCGGGAGCATCGGGTCGCACTGGACGCCTCCCGAGGGCGGACCTGTCCGCCACACTTTTTGGTTCGCGGCTCCAAGGAGACGTCCAGGGAGCGGGCTTCACGGCTGGGGGCCAGAGCGAGATAATTGGCCGCAGAGGCACGTAGGCCGCTGAGGCGAGTGCACATGCCAGGGACAAAGTGACCCTCATTGGGGGTGACCGGCGCAATCATCCCAGCGGATGGGGACGCAGGCGCGGCACCGGCAGCGGACGGCCTGTCCGCCACACGCAGAGGGTAGATGTCGGGCCGGCGTCTTCTAAGGAGCACAGTGCTTCTACTGAGCCTTCCCCCCTCCCCCTACCCCCTTGTGCTCGACCAAAGAACAAACGATACCACCCCACCTACGGCCCTCCACGGTGCGCTGCGGCCCATCGGGGGCCGTAGCGTACGCCACGCAGAAGCCCAAGCCATAACTCATGGTATAAGCTGGGTGTGATCCGTCGCCCTGAGCGGCCCTCGCTCCCTGTCGCCTCCTTCGGCCGCCCTCCCTGTCTCCTCCCGTTTCGCTGCGCTGTGGCACAGTTCGCTTCAACGGTCTCCCCGTTTTGATTGCCCTTCCGCCAGCGCAGTTATTCCGCCTAGCCGCCGACGCAGCCTCTCTGAATAGAACTTTTCTCGAGCGCTGGGCGAAGTTCAGTAACGTTGTCGTCCTCTGGCGGACTCCGGCTGAACCCTGAAAACGGCCGCGGAGCAGGGAACAAGACTCTGGCGAGAACCCCCCCCCCGTGACTCCGCGGCTGCATGAAGGCTGGCACATCTAGAACTACTGTCGGGGCCCTGAAGAGGGAACCTTTTTGGTTGGGGAGGGGCTCCGCGCTCCTCAAAGTGTTTCACAGCCTGCCTCAGGTTTGCTTTGTGCCTTCGAGCGGAGATCGTAGGCTCACTTATGGTAACAAAAAGGGGCCTCGCTCCTTATCTAGGGTTCCTTAGGTCAACGCCCCGACTGTATCGGGCGACGAAATCTATACATATCCACTGCTCCCTGACCATGCCCATCTTGAACCCAGGAGCTGTGTATGCGCCCTCCTGGCCAAGCCAGGAGGGCGTGGCGTATACACCGCTGCGGGGTTGAGGATGGGCCTGGCCTGGGAGCGGTGGATATGTATAGATTTCGTCGCCCGACTGTAAGCATCGTGTCTGGTCCACGTGCGCGCCGCCAGCTGCCGCCAGGAGCACAGTCCCCGCCGCCCCCCTGCGGCTCCTGCCAGCCGCTCCTCGCGGGCGCCTTCGGGCGGGGCCCCCCGCCGCCCAGGGCCCCTCCCCTTCTCCTCGCCGCGAGGGGGGCGGGGGTCGGGAGGGGGGGACGGCTCGCCCCTGGCCCTGGAGGGCGGGAGGAGGAGGAGGAGGGAGGAAGGAGAGGAGGAGGAGGAGGAGGGAGGAGGAGGGAGGAGGAGGGAGGAGGAGGAGGAGGAGGAGGAGGAGGAGGAGAGGAGGGGGAGGAGGAGAGGAGGAGGAGGAGGAGGAGGAGGAGGAGGAGGAGGAGGAGGAGGAGGAGGAGGGACAGGGATCTCGCGAGTTGGGAGGACTGGGGGGCAGAGCGTCGCGATCATCGCGCATGGCCGAACGGTCTTGCAGCACACTCGAGCCCTCGGTCTTCCCAGCCCCTGCCTCCCAGCGCGATAGTTTTGAGTCGGGCATTTTTTTTTTTTTTTTTTTTTTTTTTTTTTTTTTTTTTTTTTTTTTTTTTTTTTTTTTTTTTTTTTTTTTTTTTTTTTTTTTTTTTTTTTTTTTTTTTTTTTTTTTTTTTTTTTTGTTTTTTTGTTTTTTTTTTTCCTACAGGGGAATATTTAAGAATAGTGAAAACATAGTATGGGGACTTTTTTTTTGTTGTTGTTTTTTTGTTGTGTGTGTGTGTGTGTTTTGGCGTATTATTCGACTATTTTGACTTGTTCCTCCAGAATCCGCCTGTAGGGGGACATGCCCGACCTAAAGTTATCGAGTTTGGAGGATTGGTGGCAGAGCGTCCCAAGTATCGCGCATGTCGAATGGGCCTATGGCACAGTCGTGCCCTCTGTCTCCCCGACCCCTGCCTCCCAGCACGACAGTTGTCTTTCTCACGCGTCTGGGTCTTCATCCCGAGTCGTTCCGCTTCTTTTGCGGCCTCGGGGCCGTGGAGGGCCTCTTGGGCCCGACAGCGGTGAAAGACTTCTGGGGGCCCCTCTTCCCGAGGATCCGCTTCCTTCCTGCTGGCCCTCCTCTTCCCTGTCGCGAAAGGACGTGCTCGATTACCTGCAAGACGGGAAGTCGCTGCCGCGCCTGATGCTGTCAGGCCTGCGCCTGCGCTGCGACGCCTTTCCCTGCACAGCTTGTTTTGCCCCTCCAGCATGCGGCCGGTGCCTGTGCACCAGCGAGCCGCCGCTTGTCCGTCTTCGCTGTCTGCATGCCCAGAGAGTTCGCTGTGAAGGAAGCGTGTCCTGTTTTGTTGTTGCCATTTTCAGGCCTTATGGGGGCCCTCCTCGGCCCTATGACTAACAAAAAAGGGGTCCAGATGGATATTCGGTCCTGGGGGAAGGCCCCGGGGTCCAGGACCCGTTTCCTTGTGGGGCGCTGCGTAATGGGGGGCGGTAGATCGGGGAGGTGAATAAAGGTGCACCTTCTGTGCACCTTGGGGGCCCCAGAGGGGCCCCCCCAGGGCCCAAGAGGGGTACGAAAGGTGCACGTTGCTTCGCCTTTTCGTTTATCGCCCCCCCTATTAAGCAACTTCCAAGCCTCAGGACCCGTTCCCTCAGCATCCGTTTCCCTCGGGACCCGGTCCCGCCTCTCGGTGCAGCCATCCCGTGCTCGCAGGGCCGCCGAGGCTGCAGCGACGGCACCCTGGGACGTCTCATGACCTCAGACGTGCCACCCTCGCGCCTGGTCACCGTCGTGCGCTCCAGAGGGGGGCTTGCTCAGACGCGCAGCGTCGCGAAGAAGTC